ATTTTCTTTTTCGTTTGAATTAATGTTGTAACTGCTATCGACTTTAATTAGTAAGAGATTTATATCCCCTGGCCCTCATGAGATTAAGCCAATTTCTTAAATTTTAATATATATTTTTTTATATCCTAAATATAATTTGACTTAATATAGTATAAATACGTGTTATTGAAAAATTGAAATAAAAAAAAACCATAATTATTATTTATATAGATGTGAATGTCTTAGGTGATGGTACTATTGGAATAATCGACAAGCCTCAACCAAAGAAAGGGTATCCATACAAACCTTATCCCCCGAAGAAAAAGCCGCCACCCAAGAAGAAGAAGAAGCCACCGATGTAGAAGCCTTGTTATCAATACAAGTCCCATGCTTACGAAACAAGTAGTTCTTGAAAATGGATTTCTGTACGTGTGGACAATAAATGTTCTCGATGTCACTGTCTTGAAAACTTTAATTTCTGGCTTAATTGCACTTTCTTAGTACTTATGTGTTGTTTGTACTTTGATTATAAAAAAAAAAATAGTATTAATGCAATAAAATTAGCCTATCCATATGCAATAAAATTAGCCTATCCATATATATTTAAGTATATGGATTATTAATTTGATTTCTATTATATTAATTCCATTTTCAATAATGAAAGTTCCTTTCTTATCTATCTTAAGAAATGAAATGTATGTATATATCTGGTGATTGGGCTTGATGAATATTTGAAACGGAGTGCCTGTGGCCCTGGATATACTGCTGTGTTGAATAAATATGGTAGAACACTGAATGCCTAAATGGTTGTGGACCATAATATGTGGCATGAATGACTGAGGGGAGTTTTGAAGGTTGGTCAATGGTATCTGGCATTGAAGTTTCATCCGAACTTGCAGACATCTTATCAAAAGATATTGGTTGCAAATTCAAATCCTTTCTCTTCAAATAATATTATATGAATTAGGATTAAAAAAAAAAAAAATCTTTTAACTTTTTTATTATATTATGTACGAAATTTGAAAATGCACATATATATTACATCCAATAATGTTATTAATATTTATATTAGTGTTAGGAACCAAGCTCTGGGTACTAGTGTGTGGGCATAAACAGCTCTGATACCACTTGTTAGGGCCCGACAATTAAAATACGAGAATAAAAACACAGCGGAAAAATAGAAATAATGGACACACAGATTATACGTGGTCACCCTTTAACTGTTATGGGCTACGTCCACGGAACAAAAAAAACCGAATAATTCTCCATATTTAAAATTAAGTAGAGCTTACAAAGAGAGAATACAAAAATAGGTGGCACTCACAGTTGTTCCCAAAAACAAAACACCCCAAAATAATCCTCACTATTTTTCTCTCCCTCGTTTTAGGAACCCATCCTAAAACGGTAACACTCTCTCACTACATTTTCTCTCTCGTTTCTGGTGTTCTGTGTGCATTGAGCTTGGCTCATATCCTCTATTTATAGGAGAGGATTCAAAGAGAATTTAAGAGAGTCGTGCATTACCAATGCACGACACTCAAGTTTGTCAAAAGGCATGCCAACCTTTGAAAATAAATCAAAACGTGTTGTTTTTCTTTTTTCTTTTTCAATTTATTTTCCTTTCAAATTTATTGTGGGTCCCACTTGAGTGGGCACCGCACAACATATACATACTAGTGCTTGTACTACGAAAGAATCGTAGTTACTTTCTGCTTTCATGAGTCTCCTTATTCCTTCCTTTGCGGCAAAGAAATTGCATTTTCTCATATGGGTTTTAAATGATAAAACCAATATACTCTATGGGTTCGTTGTTTGTATCTTTCCTCTATTGCTAAGAAATAAAATTTCTTATGTGGGTTTTAAGGAGACAATATTGTACCGCCCGCTATAACCTTGCGGGACACGCCGCCCGGACCCCCTCTTCGGGAAGACTTTTCGACACAAGGCACCACCTGCAGATTTTTCCGGTCTTTAGCACCACAAATGAACCTTTTGTGAGCTTCCACTGACCAAATGAACCTTTTGTGAGCTTCCACTGATCATTTCTGAAGGTGCTACAGAAACCTTCATCATCAAATCTACCAATCGAGATTTGGACGCATGCTCAAAAACCCATTCCTCATCAGTATTGTCTAGCAAATGCATTTTGATTACCATAAGGAGATCTCTCAGTTCTCCATATATGATAATTCCCGCCATTTAGACTGATCATTTTTCTTGTCCATTTTGACTTGTGCAGAATATCATCACCAACATAAACCGTATACGTGAACAGTAGTATACGTGAATAGTGACCATGAATAGTAAAAGTATACTCGAACAGTAACTGTACACGTAAATAGTACTGTATGTGAATAGTACCTGTATACGTGAATAGTACTATACGTAATAGTGCTGGGCTTAACAGTGACGGGCTCAGCAACAGTAACGCCAATAGTACTGTTCATAGTAACTATTCACCATCAACCGCGTGTAGTCTATTTTACTTATTTCATCACTAAGTCGATTCTGTTGTAACGTCTTTCGACGGACTGCACCCAATGGACTCGGCGGTAATTTTCTTCGTCTTCGTGTATAATTTATTTTCAAAATATATCACGGATCGGTAAACCAAGGGCTCTGATACCACTTGTTTAGGAACCAAGCTCTGGTACAGTGTTTGGGGCATCAGCTCTGATACCACTGTGTTAGGGCCCTGACAATAAAATTACGAAGGAATAATAACACAGCGGAAAATAGAAATATGACACACAGATTTACGTGGTTCACCCTTAAACTGTTTAGGGCACCCGTCCACGGAACCAAAACCGAATAATTACCTTCCACTTTAAAAATAGTAGGCTTACAAAGAGAGTAATACAAAATAGTGGCACTCACAGGTGTTTCCCCAAAAACACCCTAATAATTCCTCACTATTTTTCTCCCCCGTTTTAGGGAAACCCATCCTAAAACAGGTAACCACTCTCTCACTACATTTTCTCTCTTCGTTCGGGTGTGTGTATTGAGATGGCTGAGCCATCTCCTATTTATAGGAAGAGGGGACGCGTTAATTACGCGTCCACCGAAATTTACAGGTTAACCTACCAAAGAAAAATCTTCTCATTTCCTTTCTTCCTTTTCAACTACGTTGTGGTCCTATCACGTTTTCCAATTCTTCGCTTTTTTTCACGTTTTCCATTCTTCGCTTTTTTTTTTTCTTTCATTCAAAGCGTGTAGGTCCCACATGTCGGAGGGACCCACAACATATAGACTAGCAAAAATAAAGAATCATCTCCGGCACGAAGGCCTTTCTCCTAATATGCATACTCTTGGGGACCATTTTCTTTTCCCTTTCTTTCTACGGCTAGGGAATTAGCTTGCTCAGATAGATAAGAACCAGCTAACTAGCTAGCTTTGTATTTCTACAATTTAAAATATTATTGTTACTGGATTCTTATGATTCATGATGTGAATCTTATGATTCGATTCAATTTTCATGTTAAACCATTCGAATTTTTTGGGTGAATCGGTATTGATCGCAAATCTTACGATTTAAGTCGATTCTCATATCCGACAATTTTCTTACCAAAAAAATCTAATGGAATATTCAATATAGAGGAAAGAAGCAAGAGAATACAGTTATATTAGAAGAAAAAGATAAAGAAGGGCTTGAATTTGGAAATGATAATGAATAAATATGGATTTAGATAAGAAATTTTAATGGCTTTATATTTTTACTTTGTTTTATATTAAAATTTTTAACTTGATAGTTTGATATTTTAAACTTGCAACACACAAGTCATTAAGTTTTAAGTCATTAAGTTTTCTTTCATATTGTATTTAGTAAATGATTTAGAATTGAAATTTATATAAATACATTATTTGCACTTAATATTTTGCATCATGTGACAGAATTAATGGAAATATATCCATATATATACATAATTAATTTGAAAAGTTATACTCAATCTTACGATTCGATTTTCGATCCTCGATTAAAAAAATAAAGATTCGATTCTCGATTTGATAATTATAGCGTTTAATTATATTTTTTTAAAGTGAAAAATAGTGTTTATGTATTTCACTAAATGAGCTACACTAGGAGATAGATTTGCTTATTCTTTGCTCAACATATTCAAATATATATGAAATGTTCTTGTAGAGGTTTCTGACCTTTACTCCTAAAATGGTTTTCGGAGAACCCTTTTTTTACCCAATTATTAGAGCTATTTTTGAGCCTAGACTAAATTTAAGAATGCAAAACAAAGGTCCAATCAATAAATTCTTACAATTTCTTTCACGTATTGAGAAAAACATGCAATCTAGAAAAATAAATAAAGTGAAAAAAATAGAGTAAAATATTGTTCATTTTGAATTTCCGATAAAAGATTCATCTAATAAATTTTATTGAATCTAAAATAAGATGTTAGATTCAAATTTCATCGATATAGATTTTTTTTCATTCATTTAGGTATATTATAAAAAAAATATTTTCTGATATGAGACAAAAAAATATAATTCTCTCAATAATTGGTTCAATTGACAAGTCAACCTTGGCCACCTTTCCTTTTTTAGTAACAGAGAGATCAAACCTTGAAAATAAAATTTACTCTGCCAACACTAACTACTAGTTGATCAGTGGGATGAGGTGTTGAATTCCTTAAGCAACCTCCACGATTCAAATTGGTACTATTAATATAGAACACTGGATTGGAAGGGTCACCTCCATAATAAATCTCCGCAAAACCTAAAATTTAAGTCATTTTTGAAAGATTATTTTGTACCAAATTATTATATTTTGAGACAAATGGAGTAATTTATTAATTTATTATAACAGCTATACAATTGCTTGGAAAAATCTATCTATGGATTTACTGTGGAGTGGATTACTGTGGAGTCACGTTGTAATTGATCAAAGTCTTTGGGCTTTATATATTTTTTTAACATATAGTTGCAAAAATTGTGTTTATTTTATTGTGGAAACAAGTTGTAATATTAAGTCTTGGCTTTATATATTTTAATTGGCTTTATATATTTTTTAACATATAGTTGCAAATAATCATGTTATTACAATTCAAATTTGGCTTGCTGATTTATTACTATAAATAAGAGTACTCGAAGAAACACATAATTGCAAACAAAAATATAGAATCATCTCCAACATGAAGAAGGCCTTTCTCCTGATTTGCATTCTTTTGGCTACCATTTCCTTTTCCCCTTCTCTCACTTCAGCTAGGGAATTAGCTGCTATTGGGAAAGGTAAGAACTAGCTACCTAGCCAGGACTTTCTTTCAATAAATTTTTCATTTTGCTAAGCAAATTCAAATATAAAATTTTCTTATAACGTCTCTTACGCTTTACTCCTAAAATGTTTTTTCAATAATATTTTTTTATTATTAAATCTGTTTACAGGCCAAAACTGAATTTTAAAATGTAAAATTTTATAAGATGGACGATTCATAATCTTTTTTTCATAAATTGAAGTAATAAACGTGTTTTTTGTAATAGTGCTGTTAAATTTATAATAAATATATGCAATGGAGAGTCCAAATTCTCCTTTTTAATAATTTCTGATGTATCTACGGACATGAATTAATATCAGATGCAAGAATACCAATTCCAAAATGGTGGCCAATCAAAGGTAAGCCCAAAAACCTACCATTTGGATGCAGCCGTGGGAAGAAAAATTGTGAGCTGCCTAAAGTCCCTGCCAGAAGAAGAAGGCCCCACCTCCCCACGTTGAAGGCACCTTCACAATAAAGAAGGGTTGTGATTCTCATATTACAACCCTTGAAAATTATTAATATATATATATATATATATAGATCATATATATATTATATATATATATATATATATATATATACTAATATATATATATATATGAAGTCATCTTCATTTTATACATAATAATAAATAAATAAAAACAAGTGTTATGGCCAATCAAATATGGTCTAGTTCACTTATACGAGTAGCGAAAAGTTTCAAGTTAGAGTCATTTTGATTACAAGTATTTTTACTAATTTAATGAGTTAAGGGAGAGTATTACCCCTATTGTGTAGCCTGCAGTGTTATTTTAGTCTATTGTCAACTATACGTCAATACTTATATATGTATGCAGATGTTATCTTAGAACATTGCTTTTTCTTATATGAAGTTTTATTTATTTATTTACCTTGTGTTGCATGTCGTTTACATATTTATAATTTTACCTTCACATATATAATTTGTTATCATATAATCAACCGTTTATATTATTAAATTCTCTCACAGTATAATCATATTTTAAATTGTTAGGAGAACCTTTTTTATTAGAGCTATTTATGAGCCTAGACTAAATTTAAGAATGCAAAACAAAGGTCCAATTAAGAAAATCCTACAATTTCTTTCACACACAGTCTAAAAAAATAAATAAAGTGAAGAAATAGAGTAAAATATTGTTTATTTTGAATTTCAGATAAAAGATTCATCTAATAAATTTTATTGAATGATAATCTAAAATAATACGCGGAGATTCAAATTTTATCGATATATATATATTTTTTGGCATATTATAAAATTCTTTTTCTGATATGAGAAAAGAAGTATAATTTTCTCTATAAATAGTCAACTTTGATCACCTTTCACTTCCGGTAACAGAGAGAAAGATCAAATCATCAAATCTTGAAAATGAAATTTATTCTACGCAATATATTGATTTATTCGACAGTCCACTACTGAATCAAAATTTTCATCTCGCTAAGCAAATTCGAATATAAAATTTTCTTATAAAGTCTCTTACATTTTACTCCTAAAATGTTTTTTTAATAATATTTTTTAATGTTTTTTTAATAATATTTTTTTTTTTATTATTAAACTTGTTGTTTACAGGCCAAGACTGAGTTTTAAAATGTAAGATTTTATGAGATAGACGATTTATAATTTTTTTTTCATAAATTAAAGCAATAAACGTATTTTTTGTTATAGAGCTGTTAAATTTATAATAAATATATGCAATGTAGAATCGAAATTCTCCTTTTTAATAATTTCTGATGTATCTACCAATATTAATGAATAGCAAGTGCAGGAATAAGAAGGCCGCCAATTGTAGGTAAGCCCAAAAACCTACCATTTAGATGCAGCCGTGGGAAGAAATATTGTCTGCCTCCAATCCCTCCCAAAAGAAGAATCCCTCCCAGAAAAAGAATCCCTCCCCCACCTTGAGGCCCTTACAAAAAGAAGGGTTGTGATTCTCATATATATATATATATATATATATATATATATATATATATATATATAATATATGAAGTCATTCTCATTTTACATAATAATAAATAAATTATACATAATAATAAATAAATAAAAACAAGTGTTATGGCCAATCAAATATGGTCTAGTTCACTTATATGAGGAGTGAGAAGTTTTAAGTTCGAGTCATTTTGGCTACAAGTATTTTTACTAATTTAATGAGTCAAGGAGAGGGCTACCCCTATTATGTGGTTCCGGACAATTCCAAAAATAGTAGAACCAGAACTGAACCATAGGCCATCGATTTCGGTTCCCATTCGGACCGATTTCGATTCCAATTTTCACTTGTTCAGAACCGACGATTCCCATTCTCATCGGTTCGGAATCGACGGTTCCGATTCCGAACCGATTCCGAAAACCGTAATATGGCCAAGTCTGTAACTAGCTACCTACTTTGTATTTCCACAATTTAAAATATTAGTATTATCAGAATTTTATGATTCATGATATGAATCTTATCATTCGATTCAATTTTCATGCTAAACAATTTGAATCTTATGATTCCAGTCAATTCTCATATCCAGTGATTCTCTTACGGTCTTACCTAACAAACTCAGTGGAAAAGTCAATACAAGTCAATATAGAGAAAACGAAGCAGGAGAATATAGTTATATTAAAAGGTGAAGATAATGACGGCTTGAATTTTGAAATGATAATGAATATTATGGATTTGGATAGGAAATTTTAATGGCTTCATAGTTTTACTTTGTTTTATGTTAAAATTTTGAACTTGATAGTTTGATATTTTAAACATACAACACGCAAGTCATTAAGTTCTCTTCATTTTGTATTTAGTAAGTGATTTAGAATTGAAATTTATATAAATACATTAATTATTTGCACTTAATTTTTAGTATCTTGTGGCAGAATGAATACTGAATCTTATGATTTGATTCTCGATCCTCGATTTTAAAGATAAAGATTTCGATTGTGGATTTGATAACTATAGTGTATAATATTATGTTTTTTTGAAGTAAAAAATGGTTTCATTAAATGAGCCACAGGAGATAGATTTGCTTATTCTCAGGAGATAGATTTGCTTATTCTTTGCTCAACATATTCAAATATATATGAAATCTTCTTGTAGAGGTCTTGACCTTTACTCCTAAAATGGTTTTTTTGGAGAACTTTTTTTTTTCCCCAATTATTAGAGCTATTTATGAGCCTAGACTAAATTTACGAATGCAAAACAAAGGTCCAATTAAGAAAAATATAGAAATTTATGAGTCAAGTAGGAATTAAGTCTTTGGCTTTATATATTTTTTAACATATACTGCAAATAATTATGCTATTAGAATTCAAAATTGGCATGCTGATTTATTACTATAAATAAGAGTACTTGAAAAATATAGGATCATCTCCAACGTGAAGGCCGCCTTTCTCCTAATATGCATTCTCTTGGCTACCATTTTCTTTTCCCCTTCTCTCACTTCAGCTAGAAAATTAGCTGCTATCGAGAAAGGTAAGAACTAGAACTAGCTATCTCTTCAAAATGTTTCCTGGAATAATCGTTTTTTTTTTTATTATTATTATAGACCGAAACTGAACTTAAATATGCAAAAGTTTACAAAGGTTCAAGCCAGACGAATTTATAATTTTTTTTCCATAAATTGGAGTAATAAATGTGTTTATCTTGTAATAGTGCAGTTAAATTTACAATAAAATATATGCAATGGAGAGTTTAAATTCTCCTATTAATAATTTCTGATGTATCTACTAATAAGAATTAATATCAGATGTAGGAAGAACAGGGCCAGTAGGAGCTGATCCTAAAAAACCACCGTTTGAATGCGGCCGTGGGAAGAGATATTGTCTGCCCTCTCCCAAAAGAAAAGACCCACCTTGTGGCCCTTACTCAAGGTCAGGGAAGGCTTGTTCTCATGTTCCGAACCCACCACCTTGTGACACCACCTCTGTGAGCCCCTTTACCAAAGGAATTTGCTCTCATGTTCCGACCCTTGAATATATATAACATATAAACCCTTGAATATATATACATATATATATATAATGAAGTTATCTTCATTTTATATATAATAATGAATAAATAAAAAGGAGAGTGTTATGAACTTGCCAACTATATATATGTCAAGAGTTTATGCCAACTATATATATGTCAAGAGTTTATATTTACTGAGGTGTTATCCTAGAATTGTCCCTCTTTTTATATGTAATATTTTTATTTTGATTTGCGTTGTTGTTTAGGTATTTATAATTTTATTTTGATATATATAATTTTTATCTACGACATAATGTAATATAATATGATCAACCGTTTATATTATTAAAGTATGTGAGAGTATATTAATGTTTTAAATTGATTGGATAATTCAAATTGGGGTGAGAATTAATGGTTTAAAATGAAAAATCAAATTATTTTGAATTGCACAATTATTCTTAAACCTTGAATGAAATAATAATATCCGAAATAAAAGTAAATATTTGTTACCCACTCCCTTGAATACTCGCCCGAATTTAATTCAAATGAGGTGGGTAAAATTTGATATATTTAAGAAAGAGGCGGATGTGAATTAAAAATATATATATATGACATGGTTATTACCTACTCCATTTTATTTAAAAACAATTAAGCCAATGTTTTTGTCACGACCCGATTCTACGGGCCGGACCGGCACTAGGGCCCAGGTAAGCTTAAGGCCCCCGAGGCCCGTAGTAAGCCTGAAACCCTAAAATTTGCTATCTTAATATAAAAATTTCGAATATTCAGCCCATATTAAAAAAATAAGCCTCAAGATTTTATTTCATCTCATTTCTAATATAGGCTCAAAGCATCATTTCGTCTACGATAATACACGACTAAAGGTAAGTAAATTCTACAACTGCGGAGTCACTAACTATTTGATATACATAGCCTTTTATACATACAGTTACATACTGAAATAATTATGGAATTAAGGAAAATTTCTTTGATGCCTTGCGTCAAAGAAACGTAACCTAATTCGAACTAAAGAGGAACTTACTTCCTGAAAAAATTAAACAAGACATGTGAGTTTTTCCTAAAATGATAATTATTGCACAACACATACAGTCACACAAATGTCACAGATGTTGTAAACATATCAATCTAGTCATCCGACTAAGTATATATCCACGCAGCCAGGTCACACAAATGGCATGTCACCAGCACTCACAAACAATATCACTTCCAATAAATCACATCACGTGGAAATGGTCTGTGGCGTCACCGGAAACCCCGATGAGCCGTCCTCCCACATGGCCATCCTCTCATAAACGTGTGCACCAGGGAAGCCATCCCCCATACTGCCCGACCGGTCTAATCCTCACTGACAGCCCTACTCATTGTTTTTTCCATTCTCTCTTTTCTTTTCCAATTACCAACAGGAGGCAACCCGCGCGTCTCCAATCAAAT